GCAGTTGTTGACGAGGTGCAGTAACTACAAAATAATGCATAACTCCTCCGACAGGGTGACTCTCATTAAAGTGTTAATTCACATCCCCGAATTGTTTTCAAACCTGAACGTCACAAGCTTTTGTAATCTACTATATCCCAAAGTTTTGACCATTTCATTTATATCTTTTTTTTATGTACCAGTACATACACTGAACAGGGTGTATTAAGCTTTTCAAAAAGACTTATATACTGTTAACCCTTTTGATCAGGGGTGGTCCGAATTTTTAGGGGGTCAAAATTTATACCGTGAATTAGTTAGGGATTCTCAACATGTGGCTGTTATACATAATAATAATTTCAAAATTTATCTTTTATTGTTTGTCTTATGAATTATTTTCTTGTTTTTCTTTTTAAATTTTTATTCAAGTAGCTTAAGATAGAGCGTGACACTGAAGATGTCACCCGAAAGAAAGCGACGGCTCAAAAACAGTTTGGGATATCGATAAGTCGCCATTACAACACGGAAGAATTACGATTTGCCGCGGTTTATATGCCGGCGGCGTCATTGAGCCGTTTGCTTCTTCCGTGATGATCAAGACCAGCACGTTACTGTGATGAGAATCGCTACCATTCAATGATAACCGAATGTTTTTGGCCCGAATTGGTACCTTATTAAATGGCCCGCTCAATTGGCCGCCTCGGTCGTGCGATTTGATGCCGTTAGACTATTTCTATGGTCTATGGTATTATTTATGGTCTATGGTCTATGAACAATGGTCTATGCCAACAAGCCAGCGACGATTAATGAACTTCGTACGGATGTGGAACGTGAAATTGCGTCAGTATCGGCCGATGTATGATTGAAAACCGTCGAAAATTGGGTTCAGCATCTGGACTTTTGCAAACGTGCCCGCAATGGCCATGCAAAAGAAGTCGAAGTCCATACATAGCGTATCAAATGTACTTTCACAAGAATAAAGAATTTTAATGATACCGAAAGTGGTTTTTTTTTTAATTAAAAAATACTTTTGTTCTTATTGAAAAACTCTTTACCCTTTATTCGCTGTGTCGATTTAGCTATGGTCGTCTATCTGTCTGTCTATATGTATGCGAACTAGCCTCTCAGATCTGATATTTGTGGAATTTTACCCACATTTTGGTCTCCAATGAACAACCTACGCTATCTTCACTTCAATTCGACATGGGTTATTGTCTGAAGCAACTCTACAATATACCCGGAAGTTATATAGATCGTACTACTATAGCTTATAGGTATCTGCCATGTAAATTGACCCAGCAAATCGAGGTTCTTGTATCAAATCATTTGTATTTGGGAAGGGTATTAAAGCTTAGACGTTTTTGGTTTTTTTCATATTTTAACATGTAGAAATTATTTTATTTTAAAATTTCTATGAAAAAAATTCCTTTATTTCTTAAGACTGGTTCTTGGAGACATAGAAATTTTGGCATAGTAATTATTGTCTAATTTCATAATTCGGACCACCCTGTATATACATATGTTTATATTGAAACCATACGTGTATTATAATATTGTCATAAGCAGTCACACATCCATACATCAACAACATTACGTTATATGAGTGCAGTCAATTGATTATGCGACATTCATACCCACASACACAGACACATGCGTATAAATGCATAAATTTATTTATTTACCCACCAGCTCTTATGTGTGTACGTGCATACATATGTTTGCGCAGTATTATTATAATTTTTTGCTGTGTGAAAGCACCAAACTGCAGGCAATTGAATAAAATTATTCGTATACGTATTTGCCACAATGCCTCCACCCACACACACAAACACGCAGTCGCACACTGTGAACTACATATATGTAGTAATACTTATGTATGCATAGTTATGAATGCTTTATTTAATAAACAATTACGTGTGAGCAGCAACATTTCAACAAAATAACAACAATATTTGTTTAATGGATTTTTGGAAATTTCCACATTTTCATTTTGTGCGGAGCATTTACGAAATTGTTTATGCATAGTATTTGCCAATATCATACTTAAATACACACATACACAGGCGGGTGCATAGGTGGGTATATAATAAATATAGTTTGCTAGTTTATATTAGTCCACTCGTGTGACAGACACATAGGAAAACAAATATAAATCAGACCATAACTAAATAGCCTATCTGAAATGCTTAAATATTTATTTAGCTGTCGGCAATGCATTTTAATTTTATACTTTTCAATTTGAATTTTCCATAAGCATATGATTTACGTAGTTGTGGTGTGTAGACATACATATATACATATGTATTTTAGGAAATGCAATGCCTTTATTTTCAACTTTTTAGGAATATTCATTTGTGGAGAAATACTTATAATATCTGAATATAATTATGTATGTATATATAAGAATGAAAAATGGATA